TGATAATTTGTCACTGTCATACTGGGTACATTCTTCACTGAAAGTGCTTGAATAGCATACTCCAATGGAGAAAACACTGTAGCACAGCACAGGACTATTTGTGACATACTTACCGGTAGTTATTGTGTTACTAAATGTTTACAAACTATAGATGGTTTGGTTTACGGCATGTTAGCATGCTAACCAGATAGCATAACTTATTAGTACACTGTAAGTAGTGTTTCCCTGACCATTATACAAGCAGGGCGCCCCGCCCTGTCAACAGAACTGAGCGCCTTCACCATCATCAACAACTGCCGGCACTGATGTAGCGCTAAGCTAGCGGTACATAATACAGATACGCTGCTACATAGGCCACTCTGGTTACCACACGCTGAACCCCCCCACACGCGCTCAAAAACTGTTGATACAAACAGCGCGCAACAGACGTCCCCCCGCCTCCCCGATAAAAATCAGGGAACTTATGAGCGCCCTGCCAAGGCAAGTGAATTAGGAGAAACACTGTATATAGGCACATGACAGCCGAAGGACGAGGAGCTCGGCAGACTGCTGGGAGGAGTGGCCATCGCTCTGGGAGGAGTTCTGCTTGGCATTCAGACGGTACTAAAGCCTGGGGGAACCAAGAGGCCAGCCGAGTCTGGGTGGACAGATTGGGCGGCATCTGCAGCCAGATCAAATACTAATAAACCTTTTTTTTTTTAGCTGTCACATTTTACTAGTTATTTACAAAAAGTTGCATGCTCCAACTATGATGTTCATAACACTGAAGAACGTTTTAACAGTGAGTTTAAATGTGGACTTTATATTTTCCCTATACAAAAATATGTATATTTTTAAATAAATGAATGCTGCACTTCAGATATAAGCAGCTGGTTTGTTGCTACCTTATTACCAAACGCCACACAGGAAGGCTTGAGCCAAAGGTTGAATCAGGATGTGTTGAATCAGGATGTGTTGAATCAGGATGTGTTGAATCAGGATGTGCACTGCTGTGACTGTGGCAGTGCTAACCACGGCACTGCTGTGCCACCATCCACATTACGTGTAACGCTGATTGAAGTTATGGTCTCTGAGATTTAGCCGCCTGTAACTCAATCAAAGGCTTATGTTTGGGGAATGGCATTGAGGGAGGGAGAGAGAGAGAGCGCTGTGGGCTTTAAAGAGGCGACTCGTGTTTACAGATTTCTTCATACCAGATTATTTCTTAGTGTTTCCGTCCAAATAAAAATACATAAATAACTAGATTTGGTTGCATGCCTTAATTGTCATTAAATGGGATTAGAAATAGGAATAAATCAAGTGAGGATGGAGAATTAGTTGTTTATCACAGCTCAGCAGTCAAACAACTCGCTGAGGGAAAAGAAGGTATTGAAAATGTCTTGTTTACCAACTCTTTTGGAGGCGTCTTTCTTTTTTATAGTGCGCTGGTGATGACTAAAAGCTGAGGAACCTTCATCCTAATCGGCTTGAGATTTGGCTGCAGGTCAGGCCAGCAGATGAATGAGGATTAGAGGGTCACAAGGCAGTTAGAGAGGATTACCAGCTCTGGTCACTCCAACCTGCTCTTGTAGATGTCCAAGCGTTGGCTAAAAGGTGCTCTCGTAAAACGTCAAGAAGCTCAACACAAATGTGCACGGCTTGAGCTGATTTTTTGTTGTTGTTTTGGATCTATTGTGCTTGTTAAATTATTTTTTATTCTTTAAGAATTGTGGAAACCTCTTTATTTAATCTATTTTAAGACTTTAAGCCATCGTGCAAGGAGTTATCTTTATTTTATAGCACATAGCGTGCTCTAATGTAAGGCTAAAGACAGATTGTGTTTTGGTGATTGGTTTCTGTTCAGTAGCGCCCTCTAGTTAAGTACACCAAGGGAATGTTATAAATTGGTTAATTTAGTGAGGATCATTTAAGAATAAACAATGTTCCCTCACTGTTGGAGCAAATTTCTTTAAACTTTACTGCAGCATTTTATTTTCAGCAGTAAATCGTCTCCATTTGCTTTGTAATAGCTCCAAACCAAAGGTTCCTGCGGCTCCACCTAGAAAACAAAGAGAAATGAAGTTGTATATGCAGCGGTGTCCTCCTTTTTGGTTCCTACCATGAAAGTCTGCTTTGATGTCTAAATTAAACACGTCTTTTTTGATAACAGGCTCTGTGCCACCTACTGAGTCAAACTGCGCCTCGTTCCCTCGTGCAGCTCATGTATCTGGCTTGAACTCTGCAGACCTGATGCCCAGAATGTTGCATCAGTGTCAGGATGGTTGTGTGAAACTGTGAAGTAGTCCAGCACTATCTGACCTGACTTAGATCTTTCTACCTGGATTATTGAGCATGCATCAAGACATAGTCCATCACTAGTTTGCCAGACGTCAGTCATATCATGTTTGATGCAGAACAAATGGCATGAGAAAAGGACTCCAGTGAGTTTAATAAATATAAGTGAAACAAGCTGCTTGTTGGGTAAGTGTTTGACTTTTGACATCAGGTTACAAGAACTTTAATCTGTACATAAACTTTGTAAGAGATGTGGAACGGTATCCTAGAAGTATTCTCCAAAAAGGCTGAAATTTAGTGCTTAAATCATAGGTGGGTGACATTTTGTTTCCAGAGGGCCATATCAAGCTTTTAAAGCAATCAAAGGGAGTTAGAAAATACATTTTCTTTCAGGCACATAATCTGGAAAACATTTTCAGTTTTTTTTTCCAATTCCTATAAGATGTAGCACAGCTTGCATGCTTGGTCAAATATTTCTCCCTGATACCTGTTAGAAGTACTATAATAAGACATGCAATCTCTAAACTTGCTCTTGTGACAAAATATTGGTTATCTTAAAATAATAAAGTGTTAGTAGAAGTAGTTTGCTTTTGGTTTAGTCAAGTTCAGGAAACACAAACAATGAGTCACCAGGCAAAGAAAAAAGTCCTGACCTATCTTGGTTCAAAACTCTTAGATGTGGACCCAATAATTTTAATTTAGACTTCCTTAAGTTTCATTGATAAAATACATATCCATCCATCCATCCATCCATCCATCCATCCATCCATCCATCCATCCTTCCATCCATCCATCCATCCATCCATCCTTCCATCCATCCATCCATCCATCCACCCATCCATCATCTTCTTGTTCTGACGTCAGGTCACAGGGGCAGCAGCTTGAGCAGGGAGGTCCAGACATCTCTTTCCACAGCCACCTTTTCCAGCACTTCTGGGAGGACCCCAAGGTGGTCCCAAGTCAACCTAGAGACATAGTCTCTCCAGCGTGTCCTGGGTCTTCCCCGGGGTCTCCTCCCAGTCGGACATGCTTGAAGCATAAGATACCCGAACCACCTCAACTGGCTCCTCTCGATGTGGAGGAGCAGCGGTTCTACTCAGAGTCTCTCCCTGATAACTGAACTTCTCACCCTGTCTCTAAGGGAGAGTCCAGCTACCCTGCAGAGGAAACTCATTGCAACCGCCGAGCCAGCTTTGGTAAGCCAGGAGCTCAAAGGCCCCCCCGCCTTCGGTCACTGCCCATGGCGTCATGCACCCAACATATGGCCCCTCCTGCAGGTGGTGGGTCCACAGGAAGGCAAACTCATGTTGCTCCTTCAGGCTGAGCCTGACCAGGCCCCATGAGTAGAGACCCTGTCACCAGGTGCTCGCTGATGAGCCCCTCCCCCAGGCCTAGCTCCAGAGTGGGGCCCCAGTAACCTCATCCGGGCAATGAATTACTGAGCTGTTGCCTGTCCATAAAAGTCTTTGGATAAAAAATAAATATTCATTAATTATTTTAAAGTTTGTTTGTTTTTTCATTTAACTGTAGTGGGGGCCTTGTAGAGACTGTCCAAGGGCCACTTTTGGCCCATGAGCCATATGTTGCCCATGTGTGGCTTAAACGTTTAGTTGTTAAATTGATAAGTGAGAACATTAACAGGCACTTAAAGTTTCGATTTTATGAAATGCGGCTCTGGAAAGATTACAAACATCTGTACATTTGGAACCGAACGTATCAAAATAGGTGAGGGCTAGTTAGCCGAGCTAACAGCTAGCCTGAGTGAGACCGAGACAAAATTTTATTGTGTCTTAAAACAGTTCTAATCTCAAAAATGTTATTGTGGCTTGTTTGAATGCTATTTTTTAAAGCTTTTACAAAGCTACCAATTTCACTTTACATGTTACATTTTAGCAGAAATGTTATAATATTCCAGCTGGAAGTGCTACAGCTAGCTGCCCCTGCTATTTGTGCTTGCATTAAGTTCTTGTACAAATGACCTTGTAATAGGAAACTGACGGCAGTGTAAAGGTTTATAAAATGATTTTTAAAGTGTTTATATGAACCGCTACAACATTTTGTGTATTTGAGCAGTTGAGCACCAATGAAATCCTGGTCCTGGTTTCACATTGACTAGCCTTTAGCTCATTAGTCCGTATTAAAATATTTCTCTCTGAGGTAGTTCAATGAACTATCTTTACTAGATAATCTTTTCACAGAACTCCACTGAAGTAGATTTAAACCACCACTAATGAGCAACAAATGTATGCAGCTTTTAGTTTCAAACGCACCAGGATTTGCAGCGTGTTTATGTAATTTGTATAAAAATATGGATATTTTGGGACTTTTGAATTCACAAGTAGTTTGACAGCAAAACTAACATCAACATCTCACACGTTTTGGTCACAGCGACTTTACATCAAGTTATCCACGAGTTAAAGCTTCTTTCAAATTCAACACTAAAAAGCATCTGTGTTTTTTTTATTGAACAAAAATCGGTCGTTAGTTTTAAATATCACAGTTTTGTTGTACCTTTAACTCCATTTTAATAAAAAATAGACAAACCCCGTGATGTAAAAATCTATATTTGTGGAATGCTCTTCTACAGCGTTATTATTATAATGATAGTTTTTGGATTTGCACAACTGCTTTTGGAGCCCTATGTGGTCCTTATGCCTCACTGACCACTTTCTCACTTGAGGTCTTTGAAATGCTAATCACTTCTCCTCCCCTGTTTTCTCCTCCAGATTCCTCCTCCACCTACATCAGACAGCTGGAGACCAAGGTGCGGATACTGGAGGATGATAAAAATAAGCTCCTCTCTCAGGTGAGATCCAACGCTCCTGGTCTTTCTCTGTCAGAGCTCCATCATTTCTAAACTTGGCTGAAACTCCTGCTCCTCACCCCACAAAGCATGTGATCAGCAGCTGCAGTGACACGAGGGGCTCGCCTCTGTGAAGCCAGGCTTTTGCAACAGGCCGCTCGTTAGTCGGAGAATACGTTGATTCATGTTTAATTCATAGGGAGTCAGTAATCTTTACTTCCGAGCAGAGATGTTCACCCCAGAGGCGAGCCGGGGGAGCGGAAGAAAGATGAGAGGAGGGCGGAAAGAGGAAGAAAAGCGTTAAGTGACAGCAACAGAGTTAAAAACAAAATAATCTTCCCTGAAGTTGACCTCGTAGTGACTTCTCTCAGATTTGAAGTGTGGGAGGTGGGAGTGAAGGAGGGAGGAATTTTTTTGTGTGGTTCATCAGGAGGTCACACGTCAGTCTGCAGAAGTGTGTGTTCACACACGCGACCGAAAGACCCACCAATTAGCTCCAGAACGGGCATAAAACTTTAAACACGTTAAAGCCAGATCATTATTTATGAGCTGAACTCCTGTAATGAAGCTTTCTTTATTTAATTAGAGTTTTATGATGCTGGAGAGCAGAAGGTCAGACTTTTACAGCCTCAAAGGATTTTTTTTAACAGATTCTTCTTTCACCAGCTACTTCTCAGCAGATTCATGCATAGAAAGAGCTGGAATCAGTGGTGTGAAATGATCTTAATAATTTGCTCCTAAATGCTACAGTTAGGTGCTACACATTGTCTCACCTGAGTCGAAGAATAATTTGTTCTCCCTCGGTGTCGGCTAATAGTGCTCATCGCAGATTTTAGGGTTGGATGATTCAAAGCTCATGTACCTCAGCTACAGCCCCAAATCTCAAATGAGTTGAAAAGGAGGCACCGTGGACGAACTGCCGTCAACTTGGCAGTGGTGCTCGAGTACCTAAGCGCCGAGATCCTGGAGTTGGTGGGAAACTCAGCTTGTGACAGCGGGAGAACCGGGATCATCCCCCGGTACCTTCAGCCTCTGTCCGTGGTGACGAGGAGCTTTCGGGCATTCCTGCTGCCCAGGAGGACCGAGAGGCCCGCCGGATCTGACAGCAAGCTGAATCCAGTGGATGGATCGTATCCGTGGCCAGATTCTTCGGATTTGCTGCAGGAGATCCCACAGCTATCAGCATCTATAACAACTCTTGAATAAAACCAGGATGATGAGCTACAACAACACTTAATTTCCCTTTGGGATTAATAAAGTATTTTTGAATTGAATTGAATTGTGACCAAAAAAAGTATTTGTAATTTTGAGAAGGAAATGTTACTGTTGATGGTAATAGTGATATCCTATTTCCAAATGAGGAAAAACCAAAAAGAAAAGCAATAATAATAAATCTTACCATTTTCTCTCCCTAGGCATATAACCGCTATAGCTTATCACAAATACAGACGAAGAAGGTAACTTTCTGAAACGTCACTCTGTGTTGAACCTTGTTCTCTCTTTTCATTGTCCTTAACTGTTCGGTGGTGGAAAACTTTGCAGCTTTGAGCTCGACGCTGTCGCTTATAACATGGACGGACACTGTCAAAGCAACAGTTGTACAATTGAATGTAACTCGTTTCAGTGTGAGGGTGAATTAATCAATGAGGTAACATTTAAAAGATAAATTCAGGTTTTATTAAATACAATATTTGTACTCATTTTGGTCATTTTGGTAAAGCTGCTCACAATGCAGCCACATTTTTTAATGTAATTAAAAATAAGCACAACTTCTCTTCCGTTGTGAAAAAAAAAACTTGTCTATTTTCTTATCAATGTCTTTCCACTAAATTCCAAAGATCAGGTCCCCGCTGTCATGACAGTGACTTGATCTGTTTTAAATCAAGCTCATTCCACAACAAACACAGATAAGATGTCAGATAGTATCTGTCCCTTGACGACATGAGTCACTGGCAGATGCAGACTTAAATATATCAGCTTGCAAATCAACAGATTTGCTTAACAAAATATACTAAAACTTGCTTCAATTTACTCTTAAAATTTGCAAAATGTGCAGTATGTTTGTAATTTCCTGATGCATGCTCAATAATCCAGGTAGAAAAATCCAAAAAAGTTCAATCTGGTCAACCAGATCAAATTCAACCAGATTGAATTTTTTTGGATATGTTTGTAATTCTTCGTCGTCACCACATCCTGTTTTCTCCTTCTTTTTTTGCCTCAATGGATCAGTCATTGATTTAAAAAAAAAAACTCAAAAACCCAGTTTACTTTAAGCAGTGTGATAGGAATGGTTGTGACTTACTTTGTATTTGAAGTTAAAAAAATCAAATTTATCTGTGGAGGTTCGGAAAAGGGCAAAATTGAACTATTTGAATCTGTCATAACCTAGATAGGCTTAATATTAGGGATGGCCATTCAAACTAACAATAAAAAACCTTTTTCAGTCACTTGACAATTGAAATATTGATAATGTTACAAGCGTTCATCCCCACCCTTCAAACACTCACAGATACGCAACAGAGAACTGAGGGAAAACATCTGTTTCATGCTGGAAAGCAAGAATTTGACTATCACATAACATCTTCAATATTTCAACACTCCTTACAAAGCAGCTGAATCAAACATCAGATTTAGCAGTGGGCTTTCTAATACTGCTCTGTTGAGAAGAAAAAAAGTCTATCATCAGCTGGACGTTGACACAAATGTCCAGATTTCTTTCTGCAGCTTTTCTGCTTTAATTAGTCACTGATTTCAGTGGAAGTTTACCTCCCACACTTCTGTTAACATAAAATATGAACTTGTTCTTAAGAATCTAAAAGCATTTACAGCTTGATCTGTGTTACCCTACCTTGGATAAATAATGTTGAATATGAATGTTTCTGTTCAGTGCCCTGAGATGACTTCTGTTGTGACTTGGTGCTATATAAATAAGCTGAATTGAAACTGAATTGAAACCTACACCCTCAGCAGGGTCCTGGAGGGTGAATGGGAGTCTGCCCAACCAGTCTACATGTGCTTTGTGGACTTTGAGAAGGTGTTCAACTGCGTCCCTCAGGGAACCTTGTGGGGGTGGGGGGGGGGGGGGGGGGTACTCCAGGAGTATGGGGTACCAGGTCCTTTGATAAAGGCTGTTAGGGCCCTGTACGACCGGTGTCACAGCTTGGTCTGCATTACCAGCGGTAAGTCGGGCTTGTTCCCGGTGAGAGTTGGACTCTGCCATGGTTGCCCTTTGTCACCAATTCTGTTCATAACTTTTATGGACAGAATTTCTAGGTGCAGCCAAGATGTGAAGGGGATCCTTTTTGGTGGCCTTAGGATCGCGTCTCTGCTTTATTGCAGATGATGCTATTTGCTATTTGTCCTGATGCATGCTCAATAATCCAGGTAGAAAAATCTAAAAAAGTTAAATCTGGTCCTCTGGACATTCAAAAAAAAAAAAAAAAAAGCAAACAAATAAACAAAAAAAAATGTAGAAAAGTTTCGTCTCTCATACGAGAGACTTCCTCAGTCTGAGGAGCTGTATTCAGCTCAGTCTCTTAAATAGCACCTTCTCAGGGTGGATCAACCAGTTTTGCTGCTGACAACCAAAACCAACTGATCACATGCTCAAGAAGGACCATCAGCCTAACAATGGATCATTAGCACACTGATGGCTGTTTACTACTCACAGAGGGCTGAGTGATACTAGCAATCACAGCATTGTAAGAGGGGGACAGTTGAACCCGGAGGCCTCCACCCCTGTTTAATGATGGACGGTTTCTTTTCACAAAGAAGATCAACATCATCAGGCCAGGACTCTGCGGTCTACACTCATCTCCAGGCCAGCGGTCACTCTTTCAGGGATGAAGATGTTCACATCCTGGACAGAGAGGAACAATGGTTTGAGAGAGGAGTAAAGGAGGCCATCTTTGTGAAAAGAAACCGTCCATCATTAAACAGGGGTGGAGGCCTCCGGGTTCAACTGTCCCCCTCTTACAATGCTGTGATTGCTAGTATCACTCAGCCCTCTGTGAACAGTAAACAGCCATCAGTGTGCTAATGATCCATTGTTAGGCTGATGGTCCTTCTTGAGCATGAGAGCAGCTGGTTTTGGTTGTCAGCAGCAAAACTGGTTGATCCACTCTGAGAAGGTGCTATTTAAGAGACTGAGCTGAATACAGCTCCTCAGACTGAGGAAGTCTCTCGGATGAGAGACGAAACGTTTCTACATTTTTTTTTTTGTTGATTTGCTTTTTTTTTTTTTTTTTTTTGAATGTCCAGAGGACCAGATTTAACTTTTTTAGATATTTGCTATTTGCTTTATCAGGTCGTGATCTACAGCTTTCGCTGGAGCAGTTCGCAGCCGAGTGTAAAGTGACCACGATGAGGATCAGTGCTTCCAAATCTGAGGCCATGGTCTTGAGCTGGAAAAGGGTAGAGTGTCCTCTCTGGGACAGGGACGAGGTCCTGCCCCAAGTGGAGGAGTTTTAGTATCTTGGGGTCTTGTTCACAAATGAGGGAAAAATGGGGCAAGAGATGGGTGATAGGTGGATAAGTGCGCCATCTGCAGTAAAGCGGGCGCTGTACTGGTCTGTCGTGGTGAAGAGAGAGCTGAGTAAAAAAGCGAAGCTCTCAATTTACCGGTCGATCTACGTTCCTACCCTCATCTATGGTCATGAGCTTTGGGTTGTGTCCGAAAGAACGAGATCACGGATACAAGTGGCCGAAATGAGTTTTCTCTACAGGGTGTCTGGATTCTCTCTTAGCTCGGTCATCCAGGAGGGACTTGGCGTAGAGCCGCTGCTTCTCCACGTCAAGAGGAGCCAGTTGAGGTGGCTCGGGCATCTGGTTAGGATGCCTCCTGGACACCTCCCTGGTGAGGGGTTCCAGACACGTCCCAACGGTAGGAGACCCAGAGGAAGACCCAGGACACGCTGGAGGGACTATGTTTCTCGGCTGGCCTGAGAACGTCTTGGTATTCCCCCGGAGGAGCTGACCCAAGTGGCTGGGGAGAGGGAAGTCTG